AAAAAAAAAAAAAAATTTTACGTTATGCACGATAGAACATCTGAACATCGTGACGCGTAGAAAAATTGAAGTAGGTATTACTACACAGATAACGTATCCAAATATTTTTAAATTTTTCTACGATAAATTCGATTCGAGATAAGGAATCGATTAATAATAAGAACGAGGTACGAGGTTGAAAATTTTCCCGCGACTTTTTTTTTCAAGTATCAACGCGATTAGCATTTCAAAACACTTATGGTTATTATTCAAAGATAATTGGAACGAAATTCGAAAGTTTTCTATTTCGAATTCAACAAGCTTTTTGTAACGCACGTGGTTGCATGTACACCGCGATTCGTAAACAAAAGAAGTCGAGGAGGAACCACCCCCGCCAGTAAGTGGTTGACTCTTGTCTTATCTTCACGTGTCGCGACATTCCACGTTCTCACGTTTCAGAGATACGGCTACCGTAACAAACGTTCTCACGATGAAAAATCTCAAAGGAACACCATCGAGAGAAAAAACTATCGATGTTAATCGACCAACAAACATCTACGATTTACCATGGGATTCTTTTCAATCTCGATATAATATCAAAAGAAAAAAAAGAAAAAAAAAAAGACACGCAACAAGTGCGTGTCGAGACTATCCTATTTATCGTAATATCGTTGCGTGTAACGCAGAGGTGCGTGATCGCGTAATTCGAAAAGGTTATATACCGTTCCGTTCGGCGAAAAGGTGTATCCCAAAATGTATATACGTACAACGTACTGTCTGCTCCGGTGAGAGCGTGGTTTCTTCACTTACCCACCGGCTAGGTGCTGACCTCCCACGAGAGAAGTATGGAGCGACGGCAGCAGCGATGCGCTACGAAGAAAAACAGAGTGCGGTTCGGTTCCACGTGCCGGAAGCGGGTATTAACGAACGCTGCCTCGGTGCTGCACTCCCTCTCTCTTTCCGCCTCCTACGAGATGCGTGCACACGGACGCAGAGTTTTGGCTTGCACAACAGAGGCACGAGACACAGAGAACGGGCAGGATGTGCACGAGAGAGACACTTACGGTTTGACGGCGTTGCACGAGGAGAAGCACGGCCGACCACTCGCGAGCGTAACCCAACGGCGACTCGACGAATCGTCGTGCAGCCCGAGCGACTGTGTGCCAGTCGAAACTCGATGGTAAAAGCCAACTGCACTGTGGACCGACCTGAAAAGTACTGACACGACCGGCCACGGACACGCATACGGCCAGCAGACAGAGAGTTAGTCGTTGCCGAGCCCTCGAGGAAGTAGGCCCGACACTTTCGAGCGGACCTCGCATCGACCGCTACCGACAGCTGCCGTTCTGGCCCTTCCAATGCGCTCCTGCCGCCACGATCGGCCGCCTTATCCGTATGCACGCGGAGAGGGAGGTTATGGAATAGAGAGAGCCCCGAGAGAGACA